TTTACTATCGAAATAAATTTTTATTAATAACCAAAATTTGTACATCTGTTTGTAGATATTTGTTTAATAAATTTTTAAACTCTAAAGAATTGTATACATTATTAATTAGTGAATTTTTAATGGATATGTAACATAAAAAGCTTAATTATAGTTTTTGCATTGTTCAAACAAAAAGCTTGAGTTTATAAATAACGTAAAATTTAATTAAATTCGATATCTGCATAGAGGATCAAAATTATTTAGATAAAATCAATTCAGTCTAGATCAATTTATAACTAGTTTGATGTATCGCTGATTTGCTTCCGACCTAATAAACTGTCATTTTCAGGGACTTTTATGTTATGTAAATAAATTACATGTGCATTTGAGATAGAAATTTTATGAAATCATAAAATATGTAGTCTCACACGTAATATGTTTTCGTTTTACCATTGACATTTTATAGTATTTATTATCCTTTTCAAATAAATGGCTTTGTTAATATTTAAATCAAGTTTTTTCGCATAGCTTAATATAAGAGACAACCGTTTTATATACTGACTTTTTTATTATCTCAGAACTTTTATTCTGTTATTTGTTAATTATTTAATTTATTTCGAATATCTACTAAACTGTTAGTTACTTCATTATGTACATGTTTTGTGTGATATTGATTTATATTCTTTCAGCGATGTTATCCCGTTGTATTGCAGAGGATAAGAATAACTTTTATTATTTATAGAACAATTTGGTAGAAATCGTTTATGGCTACAATATTTTTTTATCTTTCTATAGAACAGAATTTATCGTCTTCGCACCCGTCTGTTTTAATATCACACTAGAATAAGTTATGATTATTGGATATTACAGCTTATTCTTTACTGTTTTACTGCTGCCTGTTATGAATTTTAAAAAACTTCAAACACTTACTATTTGCACATACGGCAAAAACCTCTATTGATTTATCAATTGTTTTGCGAATTTGCAATGTTTTGTTAAAAATATTTGTAAACTTTTAAAATCTTAGCTTGATAGACCGTTGGCGAGTTTAATTACTTGTCGGCAGCCACAGTAATGCATCACTAGCCGTCTGGGCCGTCTTGTGGTTGAGTAAGGGACACACTCTTCCTTCTTCCTGACATCTAACCAGTCATTCCAACCCGCAATAACCTTTCTCTTCTAAATTCCGACCATTCCCTACCAATTTCTCACGAAATAATAGAAAATTTTATCCAATTTTCCAAAAAGATGTTGTACGAAAACAAATTTACAAAACAATTTAATAGTCAATCGAGGTTTAAACCTGGCGTGCAAGTCGCTTATTACTTACACCAAGTAATTGATTTAGAAACCAGTGTTGCATGAAACATCACAAATTATTGATCTGGGGTATCTCAGCTTTAGTATTCAACGCAACTACATTAGTAAACATTAGTTGTTAGCATGTAATCTTCTGGAATGTATTATTACTAAGTTGCTTCACAATTCAAATTTACAATAGCTGTATTTTTAAACCCTCGCTATCATTAGCTCAATTGTGTTTTGCACAACTTTCCTCTAAATGTGCCAACTCAAAATTTGTCGTTTCTCAAGGAGGTACTAAGTTATTCTGCATACTTGACATAACACAAGATTGCAAACACCATCTTACCTAGGTTTGTGTTTACACGCTCAAATATTTCGTCAAAAGCTTTAACGAGCTTAGCATGCATCTCTTTGCTACTTCTGTAGATGCATTATTAATGAATTAGAAGCTGTAAACTAACGAACTGCGCCATTTATGTTTATGAATATGATTTTTGTGGTCGTACATTTTGTTTCAGATACGTTCCTCATGAATTTATCACTTGTACAAATCTAGCCACGTTTCTCTTTACTGGTATTCATATCATGTTTAAAAAATATGACAAAAACAACGTATTTTACGTTTCAGTCATTGAGTCTGTTATCGGTTCTTCTTTCTTGTAGAGTTTTCTCCGAAGCGCCTTGTCATAAACGTTAAATGCAAATTATTATTCACCTTTATTTCATATTCTTGTAATATGAAGCCAATATGAAGTAAACACTTCTATAAAATTATTTTACTGCTATGCGCCTACTAATAGCCTATGATAAATTTTTTGAGATAATATGGCTAAACTTACTTTACTAGTTCATACAAATTTATTTCTTTTATTCTTTAATAAAATATAATAATTATTTTTTTAGAGTAGTAATTGGTTTTATGACTGCAACTACGTATTTCCATACAAATAATAACTTGTGATTCTTAAAAATGAATTTAAAATAAATCTGCTGTTGCTTACTTTCAATTTAGAATTGAAAATTTATTTCACACGTAGTACAAACGTACTAAATTTAACAGACATATTGAGAAACATGCTGAGAGTAGATTTGATTACCGGCTGAACCTATTAGGAGGCAAATAGGAACTCCGCAGAAGAACTCATCAAAGAGTGAATTGTCGTGGGTACGTTGTCAATAAAACAAAAAATTGAAAATGCAAATTTTATCAGAAGAGCGAATTCGAATACATTCAACTTACTGAAAACCGCAAGTCGAGAAGAAACAACATTGTTAGTTGGACAACAAAGTAAGCGAGTTTCAGCAACAGGAAGTCTAGTTGGATTTAAGATAAAAGGCATGGTTTGAGTCGTGGTTCGAGGTTGGTCGGGTTTTAACTAAAAAGCAATTTGCGGTTCTTAATAACAATTTTAATTACGAAAATTAGCTGAATAAAAAAGCTTTAAATAAACATTAAACAAACAAATGGTTTTAATTTGGTGTAAATAAATCTAAAATTGGTATTTTAAAATAGCTGGTGGCTGTGGATTAAATTATGTAAAGAACTTTAAAATGTTCTGGGACTCCCGTATGCGTTGATGCGGTGATATAAAATAGATTATGGTGAATGTAAACAGTGGCATTAGTGAAATTCTCGGCTCACATACATCTTCAGATGATTTATATGTAGACTGTACCGTGAATTTATATTAATATTCAAACCACGGAGCACTTTGTATAAAATGCTATGCTAATGTTGAGAATACATCCAGCGGCCTCATCTCTGATACAGAAATGGGACTCTTAAAAATATAGTTTAATCTGAACGCACGAGAGATTTAAGGCGTTTGCAAATTTACTGTAAAAACAGCTAAAACAGATAAGAGATTCATCTTTTAGGCTGACGTTCTTTGTCCTAGCAGCAAAGTAATCTGTTAGCAACCTTCATTTATTAATCAACCTTTTAAACCAATCCCACAGCAAAATTGTTAAAATACGTAATATACTCGTAGGTATTCTGAACATATTTTTTGTAAACATTTATTAAACAACATTTTGCTGATAAATGGTTCTCTCAATTCGACTTATTTTGATTTCAAATTAACATTTAATTTGCTTTTTGTAAATACCGTGCGATCAAATAAAAAATAAATTAGAGTAGGCGTTGATTAAATTCTACAGTTGGCAACACATTGGCTGGAAATCTGGGCTGGAAATTTTCCACACAAACTGAAAGTGAAAATGACCATTTTCCTCCTGTACAGCAATAAAAATTTTCTGCTCTGAAGTGAACATTATTTCACTCAAAAGGAACAAAACGCAAACTTGTCAAAGTTTCCGCTGACGTTTGATGTGAAAATTCAGGATTGCCATCTGAAGAAGTTTAATCATCGCCTACTCCAATTTATTTTTTTTGATACATAATTTTTGGTACATAATTTTAATAACTAATAACTTTATTGTCTCACATAAATAATGTTTTCAGACTGGTTATTGGAAATACAATTTTTCCGTCGCAAGAAAATACCAATTTTAACAACAAGAATTGGTTTTTTTTTTCTGTACTATACTAAAACAAAATATACGATAACACATTAGAAACTAATATTCCAATAATTGCTTGTTTTTTAAACTTGCTATGAAACTCGGCTTCTAAAATGAGTATTTTAATTAACTATTTATTACAAGAGAAATTACAGAAGATAATTTAATTCTAATAATAACTTGCAATTTATGGCCAAATACTCATGTGTATAGAAGATAATGTTATCATAACTTCTCCTTGTGTAGTAATTATTCTAGTAGGTAAAACTTTACGGTTTTTGCTATTAAGTTCGAATAGTTGAAATATTCATACCGCCGTGGTGCTTGGTGCAACATTAACTAATTTCAACTAAACTACTTGCATATTTTATAATTCATATACGCTACATTAATCAAGAGTTTCATAATGCTTTCGATTCTAAACATATTTTGTTACATTTCAAGCAATATTAAATTGTTGATGAGAGTAATAGGTGAAGTAAAATGTCTTATTTAAAAAGTAATAAAAACGATCTAGGAAATATTTGATTGTGTAAGTTATTCGGAATGTTACCTAATTTCAGTAAAAATCTAACATGGTAAAAGTTTTCCGGAGTGTACTCTTAGAGAAAACTTATTATTATTTTACCGTCGACCTCGTAATATACATTCCATCAAATGAATTATTTAAGGGCATTCCATTTGGCCTGTTATTCGATACAACTCAAATTTCAGTCCAAACTCATAATTTCTAATTTCATCATTTCGACATTAGCACGCAAATATTAGCCGACATCTTTCGGGACGAAACCTTGATTTATGTGAATATGCAGGGCGCAAATAAATTGTTGATTATTCGATGAATAGACGTCCAACACGCGATTCTGGTGGTAGCAATTCGTCCGTAGTTTTGCTAATTAGAACGTTTCACTTATTGTTTTATTTTCCCAATTTTTCATTTCGTTGTTGTCTGCTAGCTCATGTAATTAACTTTCTCAAATGATGCATGAGCATTTGTAAAACGGAGGTGCTGCCTGTCATAAATTAAATATGTGTTAATAAGGGTGGAACCGACGCTGAAATGTGGCGTCAAGCTAAATCTTCTGTCATTTGTATGCAGAGGCTTACTGCAGCAGCATAGTGAGAGTGTAGTTACTGTATGTTACTCCATTGTTGTTGTTTCGCATATTTTAACCGTCTTGGGTTTATTGCAGGAACGGGTGGCGTACAAAGGTTTGAGCAGCAACCCTCGTACACCGAAGTCAATCCCGGCCAGGATGCCCTTCTTGTATGCAAAGTGTTCAACAAACGCGGATCGTGTTCCTGGCAGAAAGATAACAAGGTAAACATTTTCGATTTTAAATTAAACTTAATTAGTATCGACCAGTGAAAAATTTTACATTTTTCTCAACTAGAGAAAGACGTCCCTAAAAACTAATTATAAAGAAACTCGTCTTCACATTTTCATTAAAATTAGATTCCGTTGTACTCTTTGCCCCTTCACTTCTGAGATTAATTACGTAATTGCTCAGCAAACGAATACGTCTTGGTTCAAAGGTGAAAAGGCTATAAACAACCTCAACAATGTACGTAATAACACTAATGACATAGCAGATATTAAAATATATGCATTTGTAATCCGTTTGTTTACAAAAAACCTTTTGGGTTTTACAGTATTAGCGATTTTATTTTCAAAGCGGTGCATATTTTTAATTGGATTATCTAGAGAATGACTAAATTCCGTACATCTACAATTTCTCTAAAAATAAAAATCAAAGATTGTAAATACTTTGCAGCAAAATTTTTCAAAAACCCTAAATTTACATAATAATTGCCGTTGTTTTACAAAAAGCGATGTAAAAAACATATAAATTGTGTAATTCTTGCAATTAGAGTTTTCTAATCCACCTCATATTATTTTATATGAGTTTTGATGCTTGAAACTTTTTTTATTTGTGGTTTGTCATAAAAAATAATAGTACAGCTTAAGAAAAGTGTGCTATAATGCTGTATAAGTATTTTTTCATATAGACATTAAGTAACTTTTCAAATTTCTTGTACACATCATCAACTGTTTTCCTGATGTATTTCCTTGCGCAAACATTTAGAAGAAAGTTGTTGGAACTTAGTAATAAACTTTAAACCTAGTTTGGTGCATTGATCGATTCTAATTATATTTGTGCTGTCTTGACCAATATTAATGACAGTTTGGCACAAACACTAACCAATGCATGTCAACAAAACTTATACTTGTAATACATTATCAAAGACAAACTGGCCATTCGACACGCATTACTTTAAAAATTATTAGTTTTATTAAAATTGATCTAAAGAAGAGCGATAAATTGAGGCAATATTTTATAAAGTTAATAATGACTGCACTAAAGCGGCAATTTCATAATTTTTCAAAACCGCAATCCACTTACGTTTTGCATGAAAATTTTCAATACTATCATAAAAGTCTCTACTAATATTGTAGAGAAATTTAACGTCAACGTATGAATATTTGACTATGTAATTTCAATGTTAAGTTGAATAATACATAAAGGCAATGTTACAACGTCGAAAATTGTGGAAATGTATATTTTTTGGCCATTTTCTTTTACACGTAGTAATGTAAGATAATTAATTTAAAAGTTAGGTCATCGATTTATACAAGTCACTTAGGTCTGTCGAAAGTCCTCGGATACAGAAAACCAAACAAATGATCTCCGTTCTTGATAAATTTATTGCTTTCAAACCACAGAATATTTTCTAGACCGCTGAACTCAAATTAAGGAGAGATAATTCTGGGCGTAACATGAGTATTCAAGGTTGGAAGGGCTCAAAAACAACAACGGTTTTTGAAACGTGGAGCTTTAGAGAGAAAGCCAGCAAACATATGATCATTGAAGCGGTCGGGCAATATCTGATATGAGAAGGGACTTTTCCGACTCTCCGGGTCTTTTTGACGAGTGTACATTTTTCCCGTCAATTTCGTTGATAGTCTCGTGAAACCTGCTCGTAAAACTGTGATCGACGAATGGAAAATTGTAGTTTGCAGTCAGCGTGGGATTTGCGATTTGAACTATTTTCATACTTGCAGTGTTTTGTTTTTTGCACAATACAATGTAAAATTAATTAAAACTATATAAACTATTTGAAAGGTTGGTGTCGGTTGCGTAAAGTATTTTATCAGGTCTAGGCATTATCGCTCTTGTGACACGGCGAGACCGCCAATTTCCCGCATTGGTTGCCGGTATTAATAAAGCTGCCCTTCTACTAAAGCTAAATGTCCTGGATTATAGCTTGTCCTAAAATCTGCAGTAAAGTGGTTTCTTTCAAGTAACCCTCTTTTCGATCCGACATCAATTCTTCTCTTGGACACATATCGCCCTCACAAAAAAAGAAGTGAGTGTTACCGACAGATTAAGCAATTATCCTTCTATTGTTCTGTGAACGCACTATTAGGTTTTTACTATGAAGGAATCCAATAATAAGCCTCTTGATTAAGCGGAATTTTATTAACAAACAATTAATTTTGTAGAGCACGACGTGACCTCAATACGTGTTGTCGGCATCATCTGAGGCGATAAATTTCACATCATCCTCGGAATTACACTGATGTAAATTGATATTCTCAAATAGCTATGCTTTTAGGTTTTAATGTTCGGATATGTCACCAAATTCCCTGTTTACACAAATTACCAGCTTAATTCACCACTTAGAAATTTTACTCACTCTCTTCAAGATATGGTTTTTCTGACGAAATATTTTTAGAACTGCTTTTGCTTTAATACTTTTTTTTTGTTACGTACAGATTGTCTAGAATAAGAAAGACAGCGAGATGCACAGAAGATAGAAAAAGCAAGTCTGTAAAAAAGTGATGGACAACCACTTCACATGGGGTATAGTCTGTGAAATAATTTTTCTTCTATTTTCGCAGCAATCAAACTCCATAATTATTACATCAAGAAGTATACTTTTTGTGGGAGAGTACCGATGTGAACAGCAGAACTGTCTACAAAAATGAGAAATTTCTGACAACTCAAGGGCCTTGTAAATACTGTCGCATATAATAAATGATGAAAAAATACTCGTATATGTATTTAGAATAGAATTGTTGCCTTTATAAGCAGACTAAACAAACACTTTAATATCAACTATGGCTTTCATATTATTTGCCACTAAGATTATAAATAGTTTTATTAATACAATTTTTTAGTATTACAAATACAGACGACCGAGACTCACAATAGGCAATCGTCTGTTATAAAGATTACTGTCGCAGTAATAATATTGTATATATTTTTGCTTTTAATTTGACACAACAAAAGTAATAGAAGTAGTACAAAATAAAAGAAAAACAACTTCTGTTTACTCAAATTTTTACTTTTGATAACGGATTCAATGTTTAATGTTTTGAAACGATAGTCTGGTAATGTATGCTATAATGTATATACAAAATTACTGAAAAATAAAAAACAATTTTTGAAAAATCAAAAACTCATTTACTTTTTTAACTTACTTCACTTTATTATTACTTTTACTTGCTACATACTGCACATTTTCTAAAAGTTTAATCTTGTAACTTTAATCTCCTTAAGTTTCAAGCATAAAACTGATATTAAATTAAGCTGAGGCTCTTGTAGTTTGATTAAACTATGTGCTATTAATTATAGAGCGTACGTGTAATTAATAAAAATGTAATTTCTGTTACTTAATCAAAACTAATACAAATTTAATTGTATAGAAACTTTTATATACAAGTATGTACATAATTAATAACTACGAGTATTTCGCTATTCGGTATTATTTTTGTTTTTATTCTGTTGGAAATCTTAATCTTAATATTTTTGTCTAGCTCTGCGAGAAATTTTCTAGTATTTTATTATCTTCGTCGTTAATTTATTTTACAGCTTTCCATCTTGGAGTAAAAGTATCTAATTTTCATTACAATTACCTAGTTTGTATGCAGATACAGCGAAAAACCGCTGTATGTTGAGCAACTAAGTAACTTTGCTAGTTAAGGAAACGTAGTCTCTGGCTTCATCGCGAATGTTAACGTTTATTAATTAAATCATATGGTAAATTTATCCCAATGAACATAAGATCCTACTGGATAGTATTCCACTCGCCGAATAATTACACCAAGTTAAGTGTCTCATTTGCATACGGGAGGAATTTAATTAATCTTTAATCTACAACCGGAAGAGAGTTGCATGTTTCTTATTAACATATGTTTGAATAGACTTCTTCTTGAAATTATGAATTTTAGTCAGTTTTGTAACGGTTTCATTTAGTTCTTCAATTAATTATTTACCAGAAGTCACATCTTATTGTTCACGAAATATTTACATCTCCTTTTCCGTTACGTCTGATTGAATTAAATGGTAGTTGAAGGTAAAACACAACACATTTTTCTTTCTTTTCGCTCTACTTCACGTAAGATACTCGCCGGTGATGGAGGTAATTTACAATGACATTGTCCGTGCTAAAATACTGTAGAAACTACTCTACTTGATCAATGTTGAACCGCGGAAAAAATCCATAGCTTTAAAATGCACGGTTTCATCAAGAGCGGAATTTGTTCGAAAAGTTTTATCGACAACTGAGTCTTAAAACGTTCGTTTTTACTCCTCTTAGTGCTTCGTTTGATGTATATGCAGTGTGAGTACCTAAACATTTTCAAAATGTGCATTTTCTGATTTATTAAAACTAGAAATATTTTTAAAAATACAATTTAAGTTAAGGCCCAGGACCCATGATCGGAATTGCTGTATAGGTTCTAAATATTTGACTAAAAATTTACATAACTTTTTCCTGTACTTGCGTACACGACAAAAAAATTATTAAAAAAAATGTTGCACAGAAAACTTAGGGAAAAAGTTGAATTTATTTTTGCGGTGGGGACTGAAATTAATGAACTCTATTTGAGTTTTTTTCTAAATTGAACTAAAAAAAACAGTGAAAAAAGCAAATACTAATGACTTACTTTGTATAAATAATGTTTACACAGCAATATTTTTTTGCGTGGGTTATTTAAATATGTGAATACACACTTTTTTAATTTTAAAGATAAATTTTATCTAAAGTTACGGATGTTTTCTTTACGAGATAATATTTTAAGTAATATACAGGTGACAAATAAATTTTATTCTAAAGTTTCGGATGTTTTCTTTACGAGATAATATTTTAATTAATATACAGGTGACAAAAGCATGGTACGTAAAATGATTTACCGTCGGCAGTATATTACACCACGAGGGATTTCAGTTTTCTTCGTTGGACCGTGATAGAGTTGGTCCACCTAAGGGTATGTGCGGCGATAACCTATAGTTATAATCGAGTTACAATAATGTA